GATGTGGAGAAGAAGAATTCGGTTGGAAAAAGAAGGGAAGGAGGTGAAAAAAAGAGGGGTATTCAACTAGGGTTTTTTGGTTTAGTTATAAGTCGGGCTAGGCCGGGCTCGGGCCGGGCTATTTTGGCAAATCCCGAGCCCGGCTCAAATTTATTGTGGGCCGGGCTTTTTAGCCCGAGGTTAAGCCCGCGGGCCTATATACTTGTCCAAGCCCGTCCGGGAGTCGGGCCGGGCCGGGCCGAGCCGGCCCGTCGGGCCACCCGACCCATGAACAGGTCTATTCCTGGTGTATTGAGTCTGGGGCTTCGACTCATGCGTGTAATTCACTACAGGGGTTCAGGATAAATAGAAGAATGAGTGACGGAGAAGAAACTCTTTACTGGGGGACTTCTGCAAGTGTTGTAGTTACAGCTATAGGAACTGTAGAGTTAATTTTCAGAGAAGAAACTATTGTATTAAAAGATTGTCTTTATGTACAAAATTTAAGAAATAATTTGATTTCTGTCTCAAAACTGTGTGCGGATGGTTCATTCTGTCTTCTTTAGTAATATGATTACTATTAAAAGAAACAACAGATTCATCGCATACGGGGAACTAGAGAACGGTCTCTATGTTCTATATCCTTCTCTAGAAAATAATATAGCTGAAACTACGTCGGCTGATATCCCCAAGAAAAGGATCCGTGATACAGTTAATCCCACGTGCCTGTGGCATTACCGACTTGACCATATCAGTATTGATCGTATCACAAGGTTGGTAAAGGATAATCCTTTGGATTTTCTAATTGTAGAAGATCTTCCCACTTGTGAGCCTTGCTTTCAGGGTAAGATGACGAAACGACCATTTAACGGTAAGCCTGAAAGATGTACGGGAATGCTTGACCTTATACATACTGATGTATGTGGTCCCCTGAGTTTTAGGACTCATAACCGGCACGTGTATTTCATTACATTTACCGATGATTTTTCTCGGTATGGTTATGTGTACCTAATGAGACATAAGTCTGAATCCTTTGAAAAGTTCAAAGRGTTCAGACAAGAGGTCGAGAAACAGTTAGGGAGAGAAATTAAAGCCCTTCGATCGGATCGAGGTGGCAAGTATCTCTCTGACGAATTCAGGGACTACTTGAAGGTCAACGGGATAGTATCACAGTTGGCTCCTCCTGCTACACCGCAACTTAACGGTGTTTCAGAGAGGAGGAATAGGACCTTATTGGATATGGTCCGGTCACTTCTTGTACACTCAGATTTACCCACATCCTTTTGGGGTTACACATTAGAGACTGCGATCTACGTGCTGAATCGAGTTCCAACCAAATCGGTTCCGAATACTCCATATGAAGTTTGGACTAGAAAGAAGCCAAGTATCAGACATTTGAAGATTTGGGGTTGTCTTGCGCACATTAAAAGAACGAGTGCGGACAAATTAGAATCCAAGACCAGTCGTTGCCTATTCGTAGGCTACCCCGAAGGCTCTGTGGGTTACCTTTTCTATGAACCAATTGAGCAGAAGGTGTTCTGCAGTCGAAATGCACAATTATTGGAAAATGATTATAGCTTGAACAATCATCGTCAGAAAGTTGTACCTGGGTATCCAGGCCACCAGTCCGTTTTGGCTATGACTAGGATAGTTACCTGGTGGAAGCTTTGACTAGTGAGGAGGATCCCGTGACTTATGCAGAAGCTATGTTGTACATAGATTCCTGAAGTGGGTAGATACAATGAGAGTTGAAATGGACTCAATGAAGACCAATGGAGTCTGGACTCTAGTAGATCCGCCCCTTGGGGTAAAAGCAATTGGTTGCAAATGGATCTATAAGAGGAAGAAGGGCTCCGATGGTAAGGTTAAGACATAGAAAACTCGTCTAGTGGCGAAAGGGTATATTCAGAAAGAGGGCATCGATTATGAGGAAACTTTTGCGCCCGTGGCCATGCTTAAATCCATTCAGATCCTGCTATCTATAGCAGCATACCATGACTATATGTAGCAACTGCAAGGTTTCATAGTTGCGGGTTAGGAACACATGATATGTAAGTTAAATAGATCCATATATGGACTTAAGCAAACTTGTAGGAGTTGGAACATCCGGTTTGACTCTACCATCAAAAGTTTGACTTTGAGCAGAATCCGGATGAACCCTGTGTTTACAGGAAGTCCAGTGGGGATAAGGTTACGTTCCTGGTTCTGTATGTAGACGATATTCTACTCATTGAGAATGACGTAAAAATGTTGACTACGGTGAAAGTATGATTTTCACAACAATTCTCCATGAAAGATCTTGGAGAAGCCTCCTATATACTGGGTCTTCGACTCTATAGAGATAGATCAAAGCGGATAATAGGATTATCCCAATCTGCTTACATTGACAAAATTGTCAAGAGATATAGCATGAAGAACTCCAAGAAGGGAAATGTTATTTCCAAGCACGTAGTCACTCTCTCCAAGAAGATGTCTCCCAAGACTTCTGAGGAGATTGAGGGCATGAAGGATGTTCCCTATGCCTCAGTCGTTGGGAGCATCATGTATGCCATGTTGTGCACTCGTTCTGACATTGCTCAGGCAGTGAGTGTGGTAAGCAGATTGCAGGCCAACCCAGGGCAAGAGCACTGGACCGCTGTGAAAAATATACTTAAGTACCTTCGAAGGACAAAAGAGTTTTGTTTGGTATTCAATGGTAGTTCATTATAGATCAAGGGGTATACTAATGTCGATTTCTAGTCGGATCCAGATGATAGAAAGTCTACATCTAGGTATGTTTTTATGATAGGATCGTGTGCTGTTTGCTGGAAAAGCAGCAAACTGGGGTCCACGACAGATTCCACAACCGAAGCCGAATACATAGCCACAAGTGAAGCTGCCAAGGAAGCCGTGTGGATGAAAAAGTTCATTCACGAATTGGGAGTAGTTCTGTCTAGCACATCACACATCCCATTGTTGTGTGACAACAATGGAGCTATCGCTCAGGCTAAGGAGCCACGAGCCCACTCGAAGTCGAAAAGCATCGAGAGGAAGTACCACGTATTGTAGGAGATTGTTGGTAGAGGGGACATCTTAATTCAGAATGTAGCATTAGAGGATAATGTAGCAGACCCATTGACTAAGTCACTCATACAGAAAGTGTTTGAGAAACACGTGGAAAGTCTGAGACTCCGGCTTATTCTAGATTGGGCCGAAGTGCAAGTGGGAACTATTAGACAGTGTATGCCCTTAGCTCCAATTAGATTGATGTACATTATGACATTTATTGTAAATGAATAAAGTACATATTTGATTCATGTTTTTGTGGTGTGTTTCTGTGTAATACCCTTAAACTGGACACATAATGAAACTTGTGTTAGTTTAGAATGTTCACAGCCGTTGGATAAGTTTGAGAGATTTATACTGCTAAGGCTGACATTGATGTGCCACTAAGTGTTGGGGTGGCCTGTCTCAACTGCCAGGGTGAGACCCGAGGTACATGTAGTGTATGTTTACTTGAAACCCTGAATCGGACCAGATTTCCAGTATTGCCCAGTTTTAAATGTTAAAACTACTAAAGCCCACTAATTGCAGAAAAGCTATATGGTTCGAACTGCTAACTGCTATTTTGCCCATATACCTAGATAATATTAATTAGTAATATTATGAATTAAATTGGGTTTTAATAATGGCTTTACAGATATTAATTGATTGGATCAATTCTATCATTGCATGTGATGTATGGATGTGTGATATGCTACGTACATGGGCCATAAGTACTTGGCTCGTGCAGATACGATAGTGGCTCTTACGCACACCATGGCTAAATGCACATCATTGCCATGGTGTCCGTAAAGATCATTGGATGATCCTCCTCAGTGGTGGGCCCCACACCCCTAAAAAGGATATGTGCGGAACCCTAGCCGTTTAGGGCCAACCAGAAATCTGGCTTTATGAAAGTCAGTGGGAGCCACTTTGGTTTGACCTAAATTAAACTAGGGCGTAACTTTTGTTCCCTCCTGAAATATGAGTGCACGTGATAGGGAGATTCATATGATTAACTCTCTAAAGGCCTCCCATCATTAGAATAAAGATGGGTTATTCAGTAATGAGGAAACACACCATAAAATTGGGCTATCCATTTGCTGCTGGATCTATTGGAGTGTTTCATAAGATGATAGGGGCGTCATAGACCGATGTGGGAGGAGCTCACTAAAAAATGTGAGACTCTCACGGTACTTTGGCGTTCACGAATATGATGGGTGAGCACTCACTGGAAAGAAATGTTTAACCTAAAATGGCAATGAACCTTGTCTGACAGAGGCAAAGAGAAAATCATACGATGAGTGGATATGATCCTTTACAGAAAGGTGGTGGGGTTATGCAGCTGAAACAGTTGGATCCATGCACCTTATGTGATTTCCCACATTTTCCAGAGACAATTCACTGTCTCTTTTACTGAGATAGGAGGGAAATCTCGGAAATGAATAAATGAGAATGGAACATAGATTAAAAGACATATCTATGTAGATAACATGAATCAAATTAGGTTGTGGACTAATGTTTCATTTTTATCAGAAATGGTAAACGGACAATTTGCAAAGTATTTGGATGACAATATGCTTAAGGGCCCAAATTATGCCGACTAGTATCATAACCTAATGCTGGTCTTGACCTCTGAAAAATTGGATAACGTGGCTAAGAATCCTGCCCCGGAACGTTCGGGAGATAACGCTTATGAGGCTCGGAGAAGGGACTATCAAGAATGGGAGGAGAAAAACTCTCTCGCCCGGTGCTATATCATTGCCTCTCTGGACAATCCAATACAAAATCGAACTGCCCAAGAACATATTAAACAGTATAAAAACAATATACAAAAAAACAGAATCGTTTTACTCGATAGAAAATCTTAAAACAATTCATCACCACGCAAATGTCCAAGGGTTTTTTTAGGCCACATGCCCGGGTCTACAGTTCAGCGGCACAAGGCCACATTTTTATTAGGCGAACTGCCCATAGCAGTTGGAAACGGGGACCCCATCTCTCAACCCAACGACAACGGGGGCAATCTCTCATTGTTTTTCTCACTATTTATCATCTTCTACAAAAGTAAACCAGCGACAAAAAGAGGAAGCAACGACTACCCAAAAACCTCCATTGTGATCTCAAAACTCTGACTTCTATTCTCGTTTTATTTCTTCCGGCCCTTTTATTTTCTTTTTCCCTTTTTATTTTCTCTTCTTCTTTATTTTTAATCCCTTGTTTTCGTCCTTCTTCGTTCACCGTTGCTGCAACTCTTGAAAGCGGTGGTCCTGCCTCTCAGTCACCTTCTCTCTTGCTTCATCTAACTCATCTTCCATCCTAATCCCCCTGTTCAAAGGCGATTTGGTCCTCAAATGGATTGGGGCAGAATCCCTAGATCTTTATCGTTCGTTTTCTAGCTCTTATCACTGAACGATGGCATTTTAAGCGAATCCTCTCCCATCGGTCATCTGGCAATCAAGCCTTGGCAATAACTTCTTGAGGAGCCTATAATCGGAGGAACTAAAGGCTTTTCCGGCGACATTCCCCTCTATCTGGCAGCACTTCCTTTTCTCCAACGATCTTATCTCTAGCGGAAGTCTTCTCTCTATCCACTAATTCAGGTATTGGTTATGCTTTGTATTTTGGCATATAGGAGATTGAGATTGAGTTACTTGAGTGTCATGTCTAATGCCATGCACAGAGGCTATGCAATATTGTTTTAGGTTTGATTGGTTATCAGTCATTATCTCACCTTTTACTTTCACTTTGATATTATTCTCTGGGTCTTCTCTAAGTTCTCTAATCTTTTGATTTTATTCAAAACCTTGTTTCTGTATTTGTACTGTAGTAGGCAAAATTCTAGGTTATTCTTCCTAGATGTCATAGAAAACTGGGGTTTAGCATAATTTTTATATTCGTAGCATCAGTATTATGGATTTATAGGTATCCTAAGACATTGAATTAAAATAAACTTGAACAGGTTGGATGGTCCAATAAGACATTGAATTGGACCACTCCAATCCAATCCAGGTCGATATGGGATCTCATTATTTCAAGAAAAAAAAAAAACAAAGTAAAATGAGAATAACTATAAGGCCATGCAAAAGATGAATATATTTTGATATGAGAAAAATGTATAGATAATCATCATATTAACAAGGACCTCATACTGATGTTTATATTTCTTAGTAGTCCTTCTACACTATTTATGTAAACCAAAACCAGTATGCTATTTCTGTATATTGTCACAACATGGTTTATATTGTCAATCAATTCTGTTTGGTCATGCTATTGATTAAAAAAATGATGACTTATTAGTTTAGCACTAGGGAAGACAAAGGAATTAAGAGATTTCTCCGCTAATGGTATCCCCATGTGGGGCCAAATGGCCAATGAACATTGAATCAAGAAAGCTACGTGTTTGTGTGCCATTGTCCTGATATTGTGCTTATAATAGAACCTTCAGACTTCAGTTATACGTATTCATAAATTACCCAATTGTGTACTCATTCAATTATTCCATGTATAATTTTATTTGATGAGTCAACAAGTTATCTACATGCATCCGAATTTAAAACTAGCTATTTATTGATTACCATTCAATAGCTTTTTTATGGCTGGCCAAAGAAAAGAAGAGGCAGAAGATGAAGAAGTAGGCAGATTTTTGGCCTCAAACTGATGAAAGTTTAGGATATATTTTTTTTGGGATATGGTCCATCTATTTCAATGATTTTGAAAATTGAGATGTCATCTGTTAGTTGGTAGAAGATTATTTCAAACATCAAGGCTTTGGTTGTATACTTGTATAGTTTAAACAAGATTACTGCTTGTATTTTAGCCGCAATAAAGTATGGTCTCCTTCAAATACATGAAATTATATTAGATATGTTGTTCTACCCCTTCCCATCACCCCATTCCCAAAAAAGATTAAACATGTAGAGATAAGTTGATGCATGATCCACTATTGCAAATGACCCTCTTGTGGATGGCTCAAGCTGTAAGCCTGTAACCAAGCTTAATTGAACCAATTTCTTTCCTTCTGTCTTGCTTCTTGCATATCCCCAACTTCATAGCAAAGGGAACCATTCTTTGAAGCTTGGCCCTGAAAGCTAAATAGCACTGACGGCTAAGCTCATGCTTCATACAGTTTTTTTTAGGAATAATACCTTTTCAATATCATAGATGGACTCTTTAATTTATCCACCTTTAAGTTTTTCATAGAGCTGCTAACTCCTTGGTGACCCAGTTATTTGAGCTTTAGGTAGGCTTTCCAAGTACAGTCCATGCACAATTTCATGTTATCTATTAATCAATTGATGAGTGGGACATGTTTAGAATAATCTCCAAAGACCCCTAAATCTGTTCCTCATCCATCCTATCACTACCCTCTGACAACCTATAAAGATCGATAGTATCATCCCCTGCATAATGGAGAAGAGTTGCACCTTCAGAGAATGCTTGCATACAGTAGAGATATCCACATACGCATCAAAATCTGCATTTAGTAATGCTCCTAGCACTAAGGTTAAGGAGGAATCATACCAACACTAATAAATTCTTCTAACCCTGTTGATGGGAACACTCTGAATTACGTTGGGAAGAACATCCCCATTGATCTTATTGTTGCTGTCATTGCCAAAATTATTCTTGATTGGTGTATTACTATGGTCTTGGTAAGTTCTTTTTTTGGTCATATCAATATATGCAATGATTGGGTTTAAGCTTAGTTCGGGAGCCTTCGTACTCTACCTGTTTCAAGAATGTTTGTTTGGAATCCCTTGTTTATGTGTATTCTGTAGGCACAAGTATTGAAGATATATTTCTGAATAATTAAATATAGTTCCTACTTTGGTTTGATCCTAATATCAGATCACAGACAAATCTCGGATATTAAACCCCCTTGCTTTGATAATTTTAACCTTCCCTAGAAAGTAATGGATGATTTTAACCTTCACGTCTCTAAATATTCCCACTATTTATCGGTGATCCTGGGTTATGAGAAGAGTTCCCATCAAATCTCAATTTAGTCTTATTGCTATCCCTCCTTCTCAAAATACAACTTTGATTTAGAAGAACAATCTTACACTCTGTAATGGATGCAGCCGGTTTAACCCCTGTTACAATCTAACGTTGATGATGATTCCTCAGTTCAAAGTTTTAGTACCGTTAAGCATCTCTACATGGTCGAATGGAAATTTTACAGGGTCTTCATAAATTTCGCTTAGGAATTTGGAAAGTGAGAAAATTGGGGATGTCATTTAAATATAAGAGGAAAATAACTTAGGATTTACTTATGGAACTTCGGTAAATGTTAAAAGTGGTATAATTACACAATTAATGCCACTAGTCGACTATGTGCAACAAATGATGTTAAAGATTTCAAACATACTTGGTATTTTATCATGAAGAGTTAATAACTTAATATCTTCAAAAGCCAACATCTATAACATCATCCCTCTTATTGAAGGTTATCTAACACCATCTCTTTCTTGACCTTTGTGGCCACAATATTAGATAAAGACATTAACCATTAGTGATTATATTTCTACATAATTATTATAAAGAGTTAATAATAAAATCCTTGATGTACACAGACTAATGTGATTTTGATCTTGTAGAGTTGCAATACTAAATGCTTCTCTCAAAAATAAAACAGAAAAGTAAATAAATAAATAAAACTAATTATTTGATTAAAATTTAAACAAAAGTACTTTATGTCCTCAAAAGATAGTTGGAGTTTCCTAGAGTAAAAAAGGGGGGTTAAAAATAAAAATAATAAAAATAGAAAAATAAAAAAAAACTAAAATTCTGAAATTGCGACAACTACCAAATCCACTTCTTGTTGAAATATGGAAATTGTGAAGATGCTGAATTTTGACATTCACATTGAATTTCCAAACTAATTAGTATGCATGATTTATTGTGATAATGTTTTCCCTTCAAAGCCTTGATACTTTCAATTCCAAGTGAACATAGGATCACTATAAATGTGAACACCATATCTTACAAAATCACAAAATTCCTTTAAAATTTGAAATCCTTTTATTGCGATTAAGTTTCACTGGATATTGTTGCCTTTTCATGATTGATTACACCTAAGTCCCGAAATGATGTTCAAATCTTGTTCGAGCATGGACTAAGTTACTTGGGATGTGCTTAAATGCGATGAGATATGTCGACACTTAGCTTTCCAAAGTATAATGAACTTCAATTTTCCTTTTTGCGATGATATTTACCTCTCATACACGATGATGTCTTTTTTCTCTTAAATACAAATCAATTAACCTTCAATTGTGATATCATTCGATTTTCGCATATGCGATGATATAACACACCCCATATCGATGCAAAATCTGCGATGTCGTCACGAGAATATCACTATGTTGCTCAAATCCCATTAACGTTAGCATGTTCCAAAATCTCGCACAATAAATGGGGAGCTTTCTTTCGTCCCATATTTTAGATAGCTGATGCGATATTAGCAAAGCCTTCTATTTAAAGTGAAAGGGGTTGGTTACTTTACCCGCAAAACACCCACGCAACACCGTTCCACTCACATAGGGGAACGACAAAGGTCGCACCCTTCCACTAGGGGGTTGAACATTAGAAGTAGCCAAATATTCGTTTCACTTGTTTCTTGACACAATGACTTCTATCAAGAAATATGGGGCTAAAGTACAAAAAAGTATTGAGTTATACCTTACAAAATGCTTCTATGATTTTTTTTGCCACTTACATCTTTAAAAAGCCCTAATGACCTAGAAAGCAAGCACAAGTCAACACGATACCCTATCAAAAAGATAGGGGTTGAATCATAGAATGAAAACTCTCGACTACTAAGTTGAATATCATAATGCCTACTGACAAATTAAGGATGGGGAAATTCATCATATGGATGGTCAAACCATGCTAGATGATGGAGTTTAATTTCAAAAATTTATTTTACCCTTTTGGGAATCACATTCCCAGTTTTAGAAAAACTACACTTTTCAAGGATCATTCTTGCACAAAACTGGATCAAACCAGAAACCAAAAGAAAGGGAGAAGAATACCTGATACAGATTCCACACGAGTAGTTCTCAAAGTGGGTGTTCACGCCCAAAGAGCATACCAAAACCAACTTCAACTGAAAATGGCGTAGCTTGAATTAAAACCAGTTTAGCAATGTAGTCCTTCAGCAAGAACTGCAATCTAATAGCTTGGATCAAGTAAGGGACGTGAGCACGGTGCAAATATGATTTTTCTTACAAAAATCAGAAACCAAGATTGATCAAGATCAATCACCAGATGGAGAATGAATTAGGGTTTGGGCAGCAAGAGTAGAGGGAGAAAATTGAAAGTAGAAAAGTGAAGTTTGGAGCAGTTCGTCCTCCTCTATTTATAAGCCTTAAAGATCAGCTTTTCCTAATCTAATTAGGAGCTTCCTAATCCAAATTTTTATTTGGATTTGCACTTCTTAAGTGGATAAGAGTTATCCTCTTATCCCATTGCTGACCTAAGCCCATATCCACACCCAAATTCGCCCAAGTCACATGATTGCTTAAGTTGTCATGTGGCTTCTTAATTAATCCAATTAATTAGGCCAATTAAGCAAGTAGGCTCACATCCCCTTTTAGTTGCTGGCCAATTTGGCTCTCATTGTATGGTGTGAGACCTCAACATTGACCTCACAAAAGCCCATACGGGTTCAGCCTATCTTCCGTGACAAAGCCTGGCCGAATTCACTAGTGAGCACAGTGAACCCCTGAGTCCATCAGTATGGGCTTTTAATGGGCCCAACATTTACACTAAATAGTCATTGAGTCCAGCCATCTATGAAGGTCTAAGGACAATGGCCTTATATGAGATTAGTCTTTTAGGTATAACAACCCTAAATGGTCTTACACTTAACCTCTCAACCCTTAATGATCAAACACTACCTAACATGAGAGGACTTCTCCTTCAGCTGCAAGGTGCAGTGTTGCACTATTTACTCGGATGGATCCCGAGAATTAAAATCTTTTGCAAACATTTTTCTTAAAAACATAACATATAAATATTTTTGCGAAACAAGTTTCAAACAAGTTAGAAATCGATTGTCGTTAGTTTTGGTTTCCATCAAAGAGTGCAATTTCGATCATTCACTTTATCCGGCAAAGAGGCTGTTCCTATAATTATGATCACTCACTCGACACCTAGTGCAGTACCGTAATCGAGTCTAAGGGTTAGGTGTAACTTTTCAGTTTTGCCCACCAGTTTCCAAGGTCCAGGTTATAACTGGAAAATGGTCTAGGTTCAGTGTTCCAAACAAACACACACTAGATGTGTTTCGGGTCTAACCCTGGCAATTAAGACAATCTACCCTAACCTACTTGGCAGTACATTAGTGTCAGCCTTTGCAGGATAAACTTCCCCAAATCTATCAAATGGCTGAGAACATTCTAAGTTAAATGAGTTTCATAAGTGTCCAGTTTAAGGGTAATTACATAGAAACACACCAAATATAACACCAAACGAGTCTCATACATTTTGCTTGCATATACTTTTATTCACTTACGACAATGTGCTTGGTTTGGGTCGTTGACTATTTTCTCTTACTACACAGGACCTCGTCGTGAAGATGTAACTAGATGTAGACTTTCTATTATTTAGGTCTGACTGAAAATCGACATCAGTATACCCTGAGGATCTGTAGTGAACTACCATCGAATTCCAAATAGTCCCCTAAAGGTATTTAAGTATGTTCTTTACAACAGTCCAATGCTCATGTCTTGAGTTTGATTGATATCTACTTACTACACTCACAACCTGAACAATGTTTGTCCGAGTGCACAACATAGGGTATGTCTCCCTATGGCAGAGGCATAGGGAACCTCTCTCATGCCTTCAATCTCATCGGAAGTCTTGGGAGACATACCCTTAGAGAGAGTGACTCTATGTCTGAAAAGGACAAATTCCTTCTTGGAGTTCTCCATGTTGTATCTATTGACAATCTTGTCAATGTAAGTAGATTGAGATAATCTTATTATCCTTCTTGATCTATCTTTATAGAGTTGAAATCCCAAAATGTAGGAGGTTTCTCCAAGATTTTTCATAAAGAATTGCTACGAAAGACATATCTTTGAAAGAATGGTAGAATCCAATCTAATGGACGCCAAAAGGATTGCAAAATGGGTGGGTGAATTTCAAAAATTTTCCTACATTCTCTCAACTGGGAATCGTATTTCCTAAATTTAGAATATAATATTCAAAGATCCTACTTGAACCACAATCGAACCAGATCTGAACCAAAAGGGAAGAGAGGAATTATACCTGATCCAGAGAAGCAGTATCTCCCAAAGTTGGTGTTCATGCCCAAAGAGGACACCAAGATCCACTCCTGCTGAAGATGACACA